CTGCAATATGATTAGGCTAACAAAAAGGCTCACCAAATTTAAAATACGTCACCATCCCTAGGACTACTTCCTCAAGAAGTGAAGCGTGTTATTAGTGGGGTAGAAGAGGGAAACAGTTTGCATTGTCTGAGCAATACCTGGTTCATTAAGGAAAATCTGCCTACTGGCCTGCTGGTTTAGTGTTTTCCTGGCTAAACCGACATATGGTTCATTATTATTGTGCATTACGATAGCCCCTAAGGAACCCAGCTCTATCAGGACCGCAGTCTGCTAAGCACTTGTACAAACACAGGAAAGGAGCCCCTCCTCTGAAGAGCTCGCTGTCTAAACAGAGACACACAAAGGGCTGCAATGCTGTGAGAGAGTTTGCAAACATCATCTTACATTCAAGGCTCCTTCCTCCAGTTGGTTTTTCCTCTTCTCTGAGGACGATTTTATTTTTCGAGACACAAAGGAAAGCAGAAAGGAGAATGAGGGACAAAGAAATCTGAGATGAATGGGCAGTGTGAAAACCAGAAACAGGGGCACCAGTGAGAATAAGCTGAGATATGAATAAATACATGCATTTTTTACATTTCCGAGAGGAAAGGGAGTATTTTTTCATCATATAAGCAATACACGAAGACTAATGAGCTCATACTTGTGGGAAGAATATCCGATAATATAAGAAAACTTTTACAAAGGTAAGAATAGGGAAATCCAGGGGCTGAGTACTAAGAAAGATGACAGCAGCCCAACACTGGAGGTATTCAAAAACACACAGAAGAAACATTTGTCAGGAATGACCTAGAATGAGGGACTCTGCCCACAGCAGGAGGCTGAAATCACTGACCTTGTAATCCCTCTGTCAGTCCTGTTATTCCAGGAGCATCACCTCTATTGCAGAGTTTTGAGCTAGAATAAATGCTCTGATGATGGCTGTACATGCAAAATAAGCAGGTTTAATCTCAACCAGAAACAGTCAGAAATGAAACCATTTATTTCCCTGTGTTCTCATTTAGTTCTGTATTCATGCTTTCCCAGACACCTAGTTATCTTGAGATGTATGAAATGAAATATGCCCAGAAGCGGAAAAGCAAACTCAGTCTTTTAAACTTCCTGCAGCAATCTAAGCAGCTGCTGAAGCCTGTGTTACATTTCCTAGGAAATGCTAAGAACCCCATGAGTCCACCTTACATCCTGCAAGCATGGAGGGCGGCACTTCAAGGACTAGACAGGAAGAAAAAGCAGCAAACAGCAGTGCCAGCTGAGGTGAAAGACTTTGCCAACGTCTCAAACAAAGCCAGGACACTTCAGGTAGGGCTGGCATCGTAAGAAATCCACTTGATTTGTGAAGGATCTCTTTCTACCTCTTAACTGAGGACAAAGTGAGCACTTAAGATAACCAGAGCTGGGAGCACTCTGGTTTATGACAAGAGGAGCCTCTGAATCTCTTCCTTGTCTTCTAAAGCATCACTCCTGTTCTCTGCTTCTCCAGTACAAGATCTTTTCCTTTTTCTAAGGGAAAAGAATTATTATTCCTCATTCACATTCTGAATTCTCTGAGGGGGAAAAGGGAAGGAAATCCTACAAATTCCCTTTGCCCTTCTGGTGCTCATCGTGAAGTGGGCACCCCAACTTAAGAAAAACTACAAATCAATATCTATCTACTTTTCCCCACAGTCACGAATAAGTGCATATTTGAGGTCCTATAATGCATCAACTGTGTCATTTGTATTTTGGATTTGTAAAGGGTAACCATGTTTCTGCATTGCTACCAACTTCTTTTTTTTTCCAGCAGGACAGTCTCACCCCTAAGATCTGCTCATCTGCTTCACCTTTATTTTCCTGCAACAATTTGTTCTGACAACGAGATGATGCTCTTTCTCCCCTCCTTTGAGACTATTATCCTGAACCAGGGAAAGGCTCACATACTGCATGTTTTATTCTTTAACAGGAGCCTTCCCACAGTCAAGACCAGCCTTCTGCAGAACAAACAGCAGTTAAGAGCTTTCTGTATCTGCTTTCAGCATCATAGATGCTATTGTTAACAGAACAGCACTTGGAAGGAGTAAAGTGCTCCAGACATGCTTATCTTTATGACCTGCCTCTAGCAGAGAACTCAGCTCATTATTGTTATCTTAAATTATTTTTATATTAAAAAAATATATATTCTTCCATTGTTTGGATCCCTAGAACTCTGCTTTATTCAGGGTGGCAGATTTCTTGTTAGCTTGTTCCAAATAACCTGAAAAAGACAGCCTACATTCTTCTGAATCGAGACAAATTTTAGAATTGCAGAGATCTAATGATTCAGTTGCTTCTGCAGCCTGAAGGAAGCATTCAAAAAGATCCTCTCCAACAACCCAACTTTCCCCTCACAATCACCTCCCCATCCCCACTGGAATAATTATCCTCAACAGTTAAAGAGAAATGAAGGGAGGAGAAAAAAAAAAAAAAAAGAAAGAAAACTAGACTCCAAAGCACATAAGCCTGGAACTCTTACTCTGAACATTTTTCCTTCACTGGTTCATCTGCCTGCAGGGAATTCAGTTAGTTACATTGCTAGACTAAAACACCCCTAAGCTGTCCTTGAAATGAATGGCTCCATTCATTTAAGTGGGAGTGTGTTCTGGTTTTATTACCTGACCCCTTATTTCTACCACAGAATCACAGGGCAAGTAAAATAATCTGCTCTCAACAGTGGTTGTCTGGTTATATCCTATTACTTTATTTTTTGTTATTTTTCTAGGACTAATTCAGTGCCGTAGAAAAGGATAATAACCTCCACCCTCTCGTGAAAGCAGTGTTCAAATATATTCTGAATGATTTAATGTCACTCTGCCCATCGAATTTCTGTCTCAGTAATTAAAAGGAAAATCAATTAATAAACTGAGAGGTTAAAAAAAAAAAAAAAGTATTTTGAAATAACTACTACTAAATCTCACTATGAACAACAGCAGTCTTTCCATCGTCTTCCATGGACTTCACATCAGATCCAAACCACGGTTGTTTGCTTCAGATGAAATAGAGCTGTTAAATTAAAACCCAAGAAAACCCCAGCAGCACTCGCACAGGTGAGAGGATGAAGAAATGACACCTCAGACACGTCAGTGCATGCATACACCCACGCCTACCCTGCTGCTCAAAGTGATCTCTCCACATGGGCACCCTCCCAAGCCCAGAGCTCGATGCCTCCCAGCCCACCAGCAGCTCGTGCCAGCTGCCCAGGGCAGGTGAGGGCTGTGCACCCATGGGTGCTGCCCATCACACGGTAGCTCTATGCCCACTGCCAGCCTGTCTGCACATACAGAAACAATCAGCCCTGTATTTCTGACACAATAAGCAAATAGATCTGCCTCATTAACAAGCTCTGTAGCAGATAAATATACCTTGTAGACTAAATCATTATCTAGCTTTTTTTTTTTTTTTCTTTTTTTTTTCTTTTTGAGGATCCAGGCAATTATTTTTAAGCCTGCTATGAGGAATAATAGCTGACTTCCCGGGGCTGGCTGTGAACATCCCATAATGCCTGGGGAAAATCCAAGCTGAAATGCTCTGTAGTTTAATGACACATTAGATAGAGAGAAAAATGTATTTGGAAGGAAATACCATTAAAAGAGATAAGAAACAAAATGTTGTACTGTAAAATGCTTGTAAGTGGAAAAAAAAAAAAATACCTGATTATTCAGTTTTCAAAAGATTTCAGTCCTTGTCTGCTTTGTCTATGATCAGTAAAGCAAAGGAAAATATCCTGGTCAGGACAGAGCTGAAGATGACCTTGCAGGACCTTTTTTGTTCTGAGAGCAAACTAAGGAAGGTAAAACAGGTGCTATTGTTAAGAAAGGGATATTCAGCTGTACAATGATGATGATTCTTCAAGCTGTAGAACTGCAGTCAGAGAAGTCTGCAGCAGCTTCACCTTCTATTAATAGTACAGAAGCATGTTCTGGCATTAAAATAATGAGGAATGCTAATTCCAGATCTCTTTTGATCCCACTTTTTTTTTTTTTTAGATGACATATTCTTTTTTCTTTAGTGTTTCTGATTATTCAGTAGATAATTTTCCATAGTTTCCAGTAAAACCTGTTTAATAACCCGTTTTCACTTAGCATCTCCAAGCAACGCAATTTCTAACATCAATGGTCACTTTTCAAAGATGACAGAGACCTCCCAGAAACACTCCCATTACAAAAGTGCTCATTGGATTTTTGGACTTGTAAGTCACAGCCTGCCTGTTGTATACAATTCCTACAGAGCCCATTGGGTAGATAAGCCATGTAAGGCTTTGGCATTTCCAAAGCAGCCTGATTAGACTCCCATTTCCTGACCATCCTTCAAGGAGAATTCTCCAGCTGGGGAATTCAGTCTCTTTTAAAATTGTCTGTATAATTGTTATTTTTCAAAAAGCAGATAATAGGTATTTTGCCTGCAAGCAGAAAGGCCACATAAATTGATACTGCAGCACTAGAAGCTCTTTCAAACAATTAAAGTCTTGATTGAGAATTCACGTATCAAGAGACTTACGAAACAAAAGATTTCTGCAATCTATACCCAGTAGCTCTTGTAAAACATAATTTTGAGACCCCACTGCAGCCAGCACCTGGTAAATGAGCATAAGAAAAACCCTCAGCCGCAGCAAGCTCTCAATCCACATTAGGAAAGATCTAACAGATACAACTTTATCTCCTATGGTGTCCTACTTGTTGTATAGTGGAATACTGGCATGCCCAGGTGTGGATGCCTGGGCATTGTCATAAAATGGGGAAACAGGGAAGATTAAAAAATAGTCAATAAATATAAAATCAGAAAGACATGGCAGAAAGGAAAATCTATCAGTAAATCTGGTTTCATTCATATGGACAGGTAGTCTCAGCGATCTGGCTGCAAGATAAGAGTGACTGAATTAAAGAAATATGAATTGTTAATGGAAATTCCTTTCCAGTGTTGCCTTTCCAAAGAGGAAAATGGAAGATGACAGGCAAACACCTGCCACCCAGAGCAAGGAGGGAGTCACTCACCCCTTGTGTGGCTCTTCCACTCACATCTCAGTGTTATCAAAGCAGCAAGTGAAGTGCAGGCTGGTGCACAGCTACTCTCCTCGGGTAGTTATCAGTGTCAATCTTTATCTGTCTGACTGTGACCACAAATAATGAATGCTAATGGAAAAGCATGTGTTCCTGTGTCAAGTATGGCATGTCTTATTTTGTGACTCAGGCTAGGAGTATTATTGATACAGCGTAATCATCAACTCATAGCAAACAGGTTGATAGTTGCAAGAAACCTGCAACAACAAGATAATCTGAGTTCAGCAATAATAAGAGAATGACAGCGTTTGATAGCCACAGTATTTTAGAGAAGTTGTGGAAGGTTTTTTGAAGTAGCAAAGTAGGAAGTTCAATATAACACTGTGCAATGTAGACTAAAATGCTCATCCCACCATCCAAATTAGCTGGAAGAGGCCAAAGAGACAATAAATTTAAAAAAAAAAAAGAAAAAAAAAAGCATGAATTTATTCAAAAATACTGCAGGAAGGAAAGGACAAGAGCAACCATTACTGTCCTGATGCAGATAAGGAAGTTCAAGGACACAGATAATAGAAAGCAGGTTATGCTAATTGCCCCATAATCACCACCTGCATACTACCATCCCTTAGTCAGGCACAGGTAAATTTACGTTCATTAAAAACACATAGGGAATAAGTAGTTGTGGTGAACAGATGAATGCATTTCCTAGCAGCTGCTGTCTTTGAGATGTGAACGTCTTCTGTTTGATGTGGCAAAGCTCTGCTAATTTCCTTATGGAAATAAAATATGCTCCTGTCCACATGGGTACAAGCCTGAATGAAAGGTTTTCAAGGCCTCCCAGCTTTGCTGGAAGAGAATCTGGGAGGGGATTCAGTGAAAGGGATTTATTTGGGTGAGTTTTAAAAGTTTAATGCAGAAGGGAAGATGTTAACATCAAGAATCAGATATAGATCATTGGTAACTGTCAGTCAAATTCTTGGTCTTTATCAAGAAATAAGCCAGTTCAAGAGCTATCAGAGGCCAAGGCTGTACTCAGCAAGGACTAGACCCAGTCCAGCAACGTCCAGTGAATATCAGTTCAGCATACTGTGAGCCATAAAAGTATCTACCACGTGCTGACTGTATGGCACAACCAGGTGGCTGCTTTGCAAGTCAGTCTGACAGAGCGAGGATGTACAGACATTATTACAGACACTATCTCTAAGCAGTGGACTAGCACCATACAGGGATCTACTGAACACACAGTCAGTCTCTCTGGATATATTTCAAATGACAAACTACACACAGTATAAGACTGAAGCCTCTAAAATGAAGATTAGTCACCGCAATCTTTGTTAGCAGGTACTGTAAGTAACAAGTGTGTTTCCAGTTTAGTGAAGCAAGTGCATATTGCATTTAACTTACCCTCTGTAGTGCTGTCACCTGTCAAAATCTCTTCGCTGTGTCATGATACCTCCCATAAAAAGTACTGCAGATGGGAACACACTGCCTCATGGCAAAAGGTTGACATTTCTTGGTTAGGACTCAGCCTCCTGCTGCAACAACAGCAACATCCTGCCAGAAAAAAAATCACTAGAGTGCCTCTACAAGGAAAAAAGAGTCCTGAAGATAAGAATAAAGAGCAACTAAAAAGCATGTCCTCAGAGATGTTCTACAATCTGGATAAAGGTAGAAAGACCATGCCAAATCAATTTTAAACTTGGGTGAAGCAAAAAGTCTCTAAGCAAGAAGGAAAACAAGCAAAATAATTCCATACCCTGAGAAGTGCTAGACTGGAGGAAGGTATTAGGAACATCTAACACTTTTATATAGTTCATTAACAGCTTCACAGCTGAAACACCACAAGCCATGGAGTTTTCCAGTGATCACTTTCACCTGCTCCACAGCACCCTGATATTCAGATGCATAGAAAAGCAGATACAACCAAAAATGAGCAATCTATGATATGGGAAAAGAGTGAAAAATTACATAGAGAGATGATGATGATGATGATGATGATTATTGTTCAGTACCACCTAATAAAATTGCCTGCTAGCTTCCAAGCAATTTCCAAGTTTGAGTTCGTTGAAGCAGGTGCTACCTTCTAAGAAGTTATTTGACTGTCTCCTGGCTCAAGATGCTCAAGTTCAGCTTGTGACTAATTCCCTTTTCCTGAAGTACAGCTCAGGTGACAACAGGAAAAATACCTTCCTTTATAAGATTATGTAGATTATGCATAAGGTGTAATAACTTAAGCCGGGAATATATTTACACATTGCAACTCCCAAAGATGTTATCAAAGCTAGTTTTAAACCAGCTCTGTAACTGATGGTAACAACTTAATACAAGTTAATCACCAAAGTCTTTATGCAGCTTCTTGAGTGGGTTTTACACCTGCAGTGATATCTGCAAAAATGTATGAAGATGTGAATATGTGTCTGAAGCAATCACTGCAACACAGACATAGCCCTCAGTTGCACCAAAGTAGCAAATCAGGATCTGGTCTCCACACCTGAGATTCATGGAAAGCTAAGGAATATATCTCAATCCAACACAATTCATGAGCAGCACAGGACACCACTGTTAATTAATTTTTATCACACCAGAAAAGGAAAGAGTCTCTCTGTTCCAGGTTTTGATACTTCAGCACATTTCTTCTCTGTTCCATACAGAAGTTGTTTTTATAACACGGATTTTGATAAGGCCCAGTGGTACAGAAAACCAAGGCTCCTTTGATTCTCAACATAACAACACATTTAAGGACAGCTTTGATGTTTTCCCACTGAAATACAAATATTATTTGATGATTTCTGTCTGGAGTTTAAGTATCAGTCCTGAAGAACTACTTGTGTGGCTACAGCTACAATCATGGACTTTCATTGTATCACTCAGTCTAACAGAAGATGTTACCTTTAGTATAAAAGATGTATTTCTGAAATATTGATGTTAACCACCAATATAAGATGCCCAAAAAGGGATGAGCTCTCATGTTTTTGGTAGCAATTATTATGGCCTGTACCATTAATCCCATTGATTTCTGGCCTTAAGTGTTATTTTTGGAGGTCAAATTTTTGTGACTAACCACTTTCAAGTCCTTTCATTGACCTACTAACAGAATGGAGGGCTATTCAGTGTGAGCAAAGACATCAGTTCTGGTGTAGATAATGATGTTTGATGCACGTGGCACCAGTCCCAGGGGTATTACAAGAGAATCTCTGATAAACAACATGAGAAACACATCTTCCCTTTTCTTTTTATTTTGGTGTCTAGTCCAGTGAAGTGTTAGAAAACAGCTGTGGAAACAGGGTAATTGTGTAACTTGTTCCTGACAGACAAAAAACTACAAAGGTACAAAAATCACACAAGGGGCATCTCAGCTTTTCACTGGAGATTATAAGAGCTAGGTAGAACATGAAAGCCTAGATAAATGTCTCTGAGCATTTCCACTGACCAAATATCTACTCCATATTATTTACTTGTATTGATACGGAATACATATTAACAGTACTGTACAGGTGCTTTAAATAATTTCAATCAGCTGCAGGCTGGCACAGAAGGTGTCAATGAGCTTGTGATGGCTACACAATGGAAATCAGGATGAGATTTGTTAGCTGGGATGCACGTTGATGCGGGCTTGTAAGAGCACCCTGATCAGCCTGTGAGGCTCAGAGATTGTCTCACCCTGTGCAACTGCTGGCAAACTGCTCCCACACATCAGCATATCAAAGCATGCACCAGCAACAAAATTAACAAAATGCAAAGAATGAAGGAAACATGCTGAAACTGAATTAAGAAACCAGAAAACAACCACACCTGCTATCATTTCCACTGCTACGTGTTCGTGGTTGAATATAATGAGCCCTAGAGAAAGCAAATCTGTGCAAAGCGGGTTTGGGCCTGATTCTACCTTACGGAGATGTTGTAATTGCACAGGTGACAGAGTGAGACTGTAGATGCATATCTGTCTGAGTACGGAAGATGTACCTCTTGAAATTCTTAAAGATTCTATCTCCAGTCGTGGCCTGGTTCGGTATTGTTCATTCTGCTGCATGCTGCCATGAATAATGAGGGATGTGGCAGTGCTCAATTAGCTTGCTGCTTACTTCACATGGCAGCCTGTGAGTGCAGCCTGGGAACAGTTTAAATAAACGAACCAATTGAATGCTGTAAATGTGCATAATATATTGGCTAACTAATAATCTAATTGCTATTTACCGTGTGTTTATCCCACCAGCAAAGGGTATCAAAACTCTAGGAATGTCAAAATGATGCTTACAACGTTAGTTCACATTTTTTGTACATGAACTTAGTGAAAGCTCCCTGCTTTCCATCCAAGCCCAAGCTTATGCAATAAATGTTATCTCTCTGCTATATCAAAGTAAGAATTAGTGCTCTGTAAGAGAATGCTCTATCATATTAGCATCTTTCTAATCCTATAAGCAAATAAATAATCTATTAATAAAAGAAGATTTGAGTTCAAAATGGAACTGTACTCTGTGCATTTGTTTTTTCTCAATTCAAACAAAATGGAAATCGTGAAAGGCCCATTCACCTCTGACAAAGGGTTACAAAGGGATAAAAAAGAAATCTGCTGTATCAAAATAATTATATAAAACATTAGTCTCCGAAGAAAAGGCTGGGATCACAAAACCCATTCAGCTTTCAGATGTAATCTGTTTAATATGAAGCTAGATTAAACAACATGAAGTGAAAGGGTTTAAGTATAAATCCATATAGATGCCCAAAGTATTTACAGTGTGCATTAAATAAATCATTTCATGCAAAAGGACAGTTATTGTTACTGGAAAGGTTTCCTAATTCACTTTCAGATAAAAATAAAGAGGGCTGCATTTAGAAGCTTTGTACACTTTTTCCCTTCTGACAGCTTTCAAGTGGCAGCATATTATTTGGTCTCTGCTACATACAAAGTGTCTTAATTAAAGGTTGTCTAAAAATACAGAACATTTTCACAGCCACATCTGCCATTAACTCTTCTGACATTCTGGTGGCGTTAAGTACCAGAAAATTCTTCTCGTATTAAATAGCATTCCTCTCTCATGCTCTGCCTCACAGCAATCCTAGCGCATTTTAACAGCATGTTGCCACTGGTGTGCACCATCGTTAAGGAGGTGGGCACAGCCTGCTCTCAAGCACAGCAAAATGCCTGGTTTTCCATGCTGCTCCTGGCAGAGACAGCAGCCT